CTAACACTGCATCAAACGCTTCATTAAGTTAGTCCAGCTTAGTCTAGTCTAAGCCAGTCCAGCTTAGTCCTTGAAGCTAGTCCAGTCCGAGATAGTCCGGCGCAACAAACGCCCCCTTAATTTGTTGGTCCTCTTTCTCTAAAGATTTGATAACATTTTGTTATTCAATTTTATCCTCTCTTTTTTTCGGTAACCATTTTAATTTTTATTCTACATTCCTCTGTATACTTGACTTGTAGCTCACATGGTTTAACAACTCAACCAAAGTCTTAGGTTTGATTTCCCTGTATTCTCCAATATGAATTGCATCAAACTGGCCCTAAAATAATCCACAACCGCCAAGACACGCAGGTTTACGCAGCTAACCTAAGGGATGAGGAGATATATACTCGGGAGGGTCTCAAGCATTCTGCGTTCATGTCTTTTACTTGTCTATACATAAATATAATCAACCCCGAGTGACTCCCTCTGCTTCTTTTTTCCACGTGTGTGAGAGTGAGAGACAAATTTCATAATTCATATACATTAAAAGAAAAACACAAACATTTTCTGCATCAATGAGGAACCGAAATGCTTATGCAATCAGACAAGTTGAAAATGTTTACCGCACGCAGGCAGGCCAGGCAGAGGCATGTACTAGAACAAATGAGTTTGTAATTTCTTCAAGTGATTAAATTTAAGGAAAACTAATGAAAAATGGATTGAAAACTTTCAATTTTAACGAAAATGACAAAATAAAGGGTAAAGTGAATAGTATCAGGTTTGATTATTTAGTACCAAAATGTGGTTTTTCGTTAAAGTGAACAGTAGTGCGGGCTTTTCGTTAAAACTCTCAAGATTTAGCTAATGCCAAATCCCCAAAATGACAGCAATTCCAAAGAGGATTGGCAAGTGTAGCATTTCCCCCTGGTAAAATGTTGGATGACCTGCACCAACTGCGTAAACCAAAACATTTAAATTAAACATGCACACACATACACTCTCTAGTCTCTAGTCTCTAGTCACTCGGTACCGTTAGTCTGGTACTGTACAGGGAAAGTATTCTCTAAGTAACAATTAGCATTATCAGACATAAGCATAAACAATGTTCATTCCTTATATCCTTTTCATTTAGACCAATTTTGAGTGTCAAATCTCAACTAGGAAACGTTGGCGCTACCTTGATTTCTTCCTCGATTGGTGTATGTAAGCCATTGCTGGAGGAAGGATGCCAAACAGAAAACAGTTTGCACAAGGTCCGGCGAAATCAAGAGCTCTGGAAAAGGTGGAGGGAAAGAAAGATGCTATGAGCACTGGAATACCGAGCACCAGCGGCATTACAATCATATTAATGCTCCATCCCGGTTTAGAATCAGAAGCATCAATACAACGCCCTGAACCTGAACCGGTGGTAAAAGAAGCCCTCCCTGCATTTCCAATATTATTATCATCATGGCTCATTTTTTAATAAACAGCAAACCCAACTCCTCCAAAACCATTGCCTTGAGAAGAAGCTACTCCTACTTTGTTATTTTTGAGGTTGATTTTTGCAATCAATTCCACAGTATCAAGAAGCTGTTTCGGAAAGCTAACAGCGTACCCGATCAAGCTCGTTGCCAAAGCGGAGAAGGCAAATGCTTGCACTGCAGACAGTGCAGATGGATTAACGGAAAGCAGAAGGGATATAGGGTCTCCGGGTGCTGCGGCGTTGGTTCCGGATCCAGAAAGCCCCAACACAATCAAATTCCATGACAAGACCGTGATCAATGGAACAGCCCCACCAATGAGTATGGCCTTGCGAGCGTCGGCTACAGTGTTGCCAGCAATCTTGCACATGAAAGGGGTGATGACATGGAGATGCAAGCGACCAACAAGGCAAAGCTCAAAGAGGCATGGACGACAGCAACAAATGCGCCAAAACGACCACCGAATGCTTTGGAAGCAAGGGCGGTAAAGCTGACCTCTTGAAGGGCGTCTTGTTCCATGGCGGAAAAGCTGAGCTCCGCGACGAGGATGACGGATGAGATGACATAGAGCCAAGAGAGGAGGATGGCAAGGGTGGAGGGGAGTGGGCCGGAGCGGATGGCAAACCGAGCATGCCAGGACCAACGGCAGTGCGGATGATCAGGGTGACAGCACCCCAGAAGCTCTTGTCTTGTTGACGGAAATCATTACTATTGGCTGCTGCAGTTGAAGTAGAAGAAGGAGCAACGTTATGAATGCAGCAGCGGCGGCGGCATTTGAATTTGAAGGTGGTTTTAGCATTGATGAAGTTGCAGTTGTGAATGCGAGTGAGATTGGGATTAGTGGTGTTGGGACCAGTTGGAGTGAGAAGGGGGTCGACTATTCTTGCAATTGGAGTTGTGTTGGGACCAGTTGGAGTGAGAAGCGTCGATTGAAAACTTTGAATTTTAATGATAAGGATAAAATAAAGGGTAAAGTGAATAGTATCATGATTGACTTTTTAGTGTAAAAATATAGGTTTTCGTTAAAGTGAACAGTACCGGGGGCTTTTCGTTAAAGTTCCCTATTATTAATGGATGGGTGGGGAGGAAGTCCAGCACGAAGCTAAAGGTGGAGTTGGAGCATGTTTGGAGTCGCCGCACTAGGCACCATCACAAACTTGAGCTCGTTTGGATGTGCTTTTAAAATGACTAAAAACGTTTATGGTGAAAATATTTTTAAAAACAATCCTTAGTAAAAATACTAGTAAATCCTGAAAAAGCACTTGAAGTGCTTTCTGGAAAAAGCACATAACTGATGTTTCTTGTAAAAAGCATTTAAAGTGCTTTTAGAACCCAAATATATTTTTCCTAAAAACACTTTCAGTCATTTAAAAAGTACAACCAAACGAGCCCTTACAAATGCTCGCACATGAGGGATTCTGCTTTTTGTCCAACGCTGCTCTCCCTGCATCGCATTATGGTGTGGGCTGTGTACTTCTTACCCACCGGGCTTTAAAACGACACCCCCTTCCCTCCCAAAGAAAATAATGAATGGGCCTCACCTCAGCAAATCGTGTTTGGGGTCCATCACCTTTTTTGAATTTTCTCTTCTGCTCATCAAAAGTACAGACTTGTTTTTACACACTTGTTTCTCAAAAAAAATAAAATAAAATAAAATACACACTTAAGTTACACATTTGAATAAGAGTTTGTTTGGGTTAATATTTGAACATTGGACCGAGATGAAGGAAAGCCCAAGGATGCCAACTAAAAGGGGACTTGCCCAAAGCCCAGCACCAAGTCCAAAGGCAAAGTGAAGCTTTTTCAACCAAAATACAAGTCACGTGTTTACCACTAAAGTGACAAGTGATGAATATTAACCTACTATCAGCCAAAGAACACTTACTAGTGGCATTCCAAGTAAAAAGATGATGACTCACTACCTTTCAAATGCTTTCGGGTAAGAACAAAGTTACAGCAGTCGGGCTAATTTGCCTATAAAAGGAGAGAGAGGCCCCAAAGACAAGGACACTCAACCAATCAAACAAACAAACATACAAACTCTGCTCTCAAGCCAAATTTGCAACCAAAAGCTGTAATCAGCCTTGATCTTGGATCTTTTAGCAAAAGCTGTAATCAGCCTAGATCCTAGTTTTTTTTAGCAACAAGCTATCTCTTGTCTAGTTTAAAAGCTATGCTATCTCCCTTGGTGATGTAGTATCGATTCCCTCTTGTAAACTTGTTTACCATCCATCCCTTTTTAGCATATAAACCCTGTAATTTCAAAGAGAAGTAACTACAAGAAGACAACCTTGACAGACAAGGTGAAATCTTGCCCGAAGCTCTTTGTTTGTTATCCCAGTTAATAGATATATTACTTAATGCACTCTCCATTATGTATTCAAGTTATTTCCATCAGTTTTCCTATATGAAGAGTTCCATTTGCATCTGGATCTGGTTAGTTTAATAGATATGTTATCATTAAAAGCAATCTAGGACCAAACAAATGACTTAAGGGGATCTGGATTCCCTTCATTCAAACATACAAGACTATGAACTAATAGTCCTTGTTTACAAGGCAAGAAAAAGAACTTAATGTAGGCTTAACCCATCTACGACAGTCCTTTGATAACAAGAAGTCCGAGTAACTTGGGGTGCAAGTAATCGACTTAAAAACACTCTTGTTCTACATCTGCTATATTGAGATAGTAGTGGCATGCCTAGCACTCAGTTAGTTTTGATTGCGAGCCTCAAGGCCTACACCTAATGCCCCACAAAGGCACCTTTCAGAACTAACTATGTCATCTTCTTGTAGCACATCAACAAGTAAGAGCCCGACTACACATCCAAAGTGTCAATCCCTTGGGGAGCTGTGCTGAGGTCCGAGGATCATTCTCCAGAGAAATCTTCGCCCGAACAGAGTTGTTAAATTATTTTAGGTTAAATGATGTAATAAATCTTATTCATATGTATAACTCAAATGTGGACTTTTGATGTGCACTAAAAAACCTCTTTCTCGTTTAGATGTGTTTTTCTATTGAGAAGTTGTTAAACTTACACACTCAACGATTTAATCAACACACATCCTCCTCGAATATTTTAAAAGGGCATTGTAAACTGTTATAGGTGCTAATTACATTTGACGCCCTCTATAAATCTATATTTTAGAAACCCCTTCAAACCTTGTAAAATATAATTAGCTCTAATCGTTTTTTATACAATATTCCATAATAAAATTGACTCGTGGATTGAGATAGCGAAGAAGCGACCTTGAAAGATATTTATCTCAAAGAATATCTCCAATTTTCCCTTTAAACTCATTTCCTAAGATGGAGGATTCAAAGGATGAGGCAGTGTGAAGTATCGGCCACGTGTTTCAAAGACTCTCTCCTTCGCATTAAAATACAAAGTAATCCTTATCCAACATCTCTGTCTACAATTTTATTTCCGAGTCTACACCACAAGTAACGTTGAACCGCACACACAGACCACAACTCCCGTTAACGTTTTGTAACCGTCCGATTAAGTAGCGACGACATAACGTACGGTTAAACAAGGCTCCAGACAAGAGCGTAGATTTTTACAGTTGGTACGTGGGAGGAATCTGAATTCAATCTCCTCCCTCGCGTTTCTGCTTTTCCCTTGAACCTTTGAAAACGCTCTCAAGTTTTCCACCCTCGTGCTCTTTGCTTCAACTTCGAGCCCCTTCTTTCCCTTCCCTTTTTCGAATCCCAAATTCTCAAATCTCAAATCTCAAGTCAATCAAATCAAAATTCTCTCAATTATTATTTGTTGATTGTTTGTTTGGGGGTTTTGGTGGAAATTGATTCAGAGAGCAATCGATCGATCGATGGCAGAGGTTTTGAGCAAAACCAGTCTGTTGTCGTCCTGGCATCATCATCATCAGTATCATCAAAACAATCAAAGCAGCATCTCCGTTTTCCCAAAGAGTTGTAATTACAATAAGTCAAGGTCTTTCTCTTGCTCTCTCAAACTGAGTCCGGAGATTTCATCACCATCGTTATCGACAACGAGTGATTTTCACGGCAAAAATATTGCTTTTCAAGCCACCAGCATCACGAGTTCCCAACCCCACGCTTCTTCTGCCGTTAATTCCCAGCAGGTTCGTTTATTTCTCCTCATATCCTTGTTCTAAATCTGATTCCCCTGCTCTGCTGGGTTTCAGATTTTATTGGTCATGAGTAATGAATTTTCCCCAAATTTAAATCGATTTTCCAATCAAAATTTGATCTCGAAAGTCACGACGAGATTTTGTTTATGTTTTTTTTGTTGCTTGAAGTTAAAAGACCGGTTTGTTTGTTTTTGTTGTGGGGGGAATGGAATTTAGCAGTCTGGACGTCGGATTGGGAAAGCTCTGAAATGGTGGGAGAAGGGGAATCAGCCCAACATGAAAGAGGTGGTATCTGCGGAGGACCTAGTGGAATCCCTTTCAAATGCCGGGGATAAGCTTGTGATCGTTGATTTCTTCTCTCCTGGCTGCGGTGGCTGCAAGGCTCTTCATCCCAAGATATGTCAGCTGGCAGAGATGACCCCAGATGTTCAATTCCTTCAGGTGAACTACGAGGAACACAAGTCCATGTGTTACAGTCTCAATGTTCATGTCCTGCCCTTCTTCCGCTTTTACAGAGGTGCTCATGGTCGCCTTTGCAGCTTCAGCTGTACCAACGCCACGGTTAGTATTTGTCTTTCCTTCAATTGGTCTCTGTTGAGTTTACTATCGAAACCCTATCTATTGGTATTGGGGTGTTTTCCAAATAGCTGAATTCGAACTTAATGCCACTTCCTCAAGAGCATTTTGTGTGTCTTGTTCTATCTTATTTATGGGTTAGCTGTGGTTTTTCCTTTCTCTGGATAATGCTTATTTGTCGGATGGCATTGGCAAATGATGTGTGTGTGTGTGTGTGTGTGTTGGTGTTGTTCCCTGATTGTTGGCATTGACTTGGCAGATCAAGAAGTTTAGAGATGCATTAGCCAAGCACAAACCAGAGCGGTGCAGCCTTGGGCCAACAAAAGGGCTGGAGGAGAAAGAGCTCCTAGCTCTTGCTACCAACAAAGACCTCTCATTTACCTACACTCCTAAACCAACAGAAGATGTGCCTGCCGAGGAGGAAGTGATTGTGGCTGAAGAGACACCATTTCGTCTTCCTCTTCCATTGGCAACCTCAAAGTCTGCCCAAGTGGTCACTGCCTGGAGATAACGTGGTCAGTTTTCTTCACCATCCCGATTCCCTAAACCTACCAATTTTCTCTACTCACCTTGTTGTATTGTGTACAGTAGTGTTTCTTGTTGATGTGATATTTTCATACATGCAAGAGTCAGAGTGGAACATATAAGCAGTTGAGAGTTGAGAGCTGCAGGTCCTTTGGAATTAGTTTTTGAGATCCAAGCCTGTGTTTAAAAATCATGTGTTGTAAATTTGAAGAGAGCAACCAATTGTATTTCGGAATTTGGTTCGCTCTTATCATATCCTGTCTGCAAGTGTGTATGTAGTTAAGAGCTTCGTGGTCTTCTTGTTCTATATGTAGTATTGAGTCAGTGGGAAGATGGAAGGTCCTTGATACCTCCTCTCCTCGCCTGTTGTTGTTACTGGGGCGCGGTATCATCATATATATGTATGTATGTATGTATACAAGTTAATATTTGGGATTTGAAGTTTGAATGCAGTGCTGACTGCTGATTTTATACTGCACTGCACCCTTACCTCCTCATTATGCACATATTAAAACCAGAGAGAAGATGATGAATGAATGAATGAATACGGTACACACACACACACTTGGATTGAATGCCGAGCGGATCAAGTGTCCGATAAAAAGTTTAGTCTGGAAACAGCTGGAATGGAAAGATCGACGCTTCCTCCCTGTTTGCTTTTGCAACATTGGATTGGATTGGATCACATCACATGAATACAATGTAAGCTGAATTGGGGAAAGGGATCGGTCAGGATCCCGTTATCATGATCGTACATCGTACATCGTGTGGTTAATTTTCGTTAAGTACTATTTATATTTTATTTTTAATTTTAAATAATTTTTTATCGCACGATATATGATCACGAGATTCTTCAGATTCTCAGAAGAAAAAAAATCCGACGAGGATCTTTTCCCTGAATTGGGTGGATAAAGTTCTACGAAAGGAAAAAGGAGAGCTGGATGGGATAAGACTTTTTGTGTTAGTGGAGGCATGAACGTGGCCTTTCTTAATTTATACACACAATGACGCGCGCACACAAACACATGAACGAACGAAAGAAGGCGGATAATGGTGGGGGCGGTGGGTTCCTACCAGGCTACCGACCGCAGAAGCTGACCATAAAGTCATGGTGACTCATTCGACAAAATGCCAAGCAACAGAAACTTTCGTCCGTTTTTTTTTTTTAAATTTTGAAAGCAACCGCCGGTCCGCCACCCTGTCGCACGCTGTAATCTTTGAACTCTTAACACGTCTTACGGTGTCATCATTGAACTCTTAACACGTAAACTAAAAATTTCTTCTTCCTCTTTTACGATTTTTTAGCGGCAGGTGGGGAACCAAAGATTAAGGATCAAATCTACGATTTCTTTACATACAAGGCTACATATTTACATCTCCAATAAACAAACAAAAAAATCAACACGCCAGAGATCCAATCCAACACCTTACCCATGTAATTTACTTCCCCACGTTATTTTAAGTTGTTTACATTCTGCACTTTGTAACATAAAGCACGAATCAGTTTTGCTATTCGACATCCCGTTCCATTTGTCAAACTACCAAGCTACAACTGGGGCAAGTTACAAGTTTTTACATTAATAGCAGAGTAGTGGTTTTGACACTTATTTATCGAATGAATTGAAAAAAATTAATAAAATTAATAGTAAAAAAATAAAAGAAAACATGTGAGAAATAAAAATAAGGGCGGCAGGGCAGACCCACCCAAATTCCTAATCCAAAGCAGAACTGGGCAGCAGGGCTGGTGTATGTCATGCCTGAATATGAAGCTGACTAAATATCACTCAAAACCCAACAACAATACAAATTACAAAGGCACACTAACAAAACAAAACAAAACAAAACAAAACAAAACAAAAATGGAAAGCGAGCAAGGTGCTAATGTATATATGTTCAACAGCTCTACCCTACCAAGTAACAATTCAACCGCCCACATCAACCAAGATACCAAAGCAACATATCATTCATTCAATAATAAGAAACGTAAACCAAGTATCTGAAAGAAATTCGACTAAACAACAACCGCATATCCAATATAATCAACACTCAACTTTCATCTCTCATCTCATCCCAATGCATTAATAAACTACCAAACCAATCACAAAATGAACAAATCAAATTAAATAGTTGGGATTGGGGTGGGGATGGGGGTGAGCCCGCTGAGCCATCACTGCCCCCATATAATATCATATGAAATGAATTTTAGAGGGCTCTGACTGCGGGCAGTCTTCACTGCAGGAGGGTTAGGGGCACCAAACCAGCCAGTGACGGTCCAGAGCCGCCATCAGCCCTAAAACCCTAAAACCCTAAAACTATGATGAGAGGCCAAAGGGCGGGTGGCTCAGCCTCAGCCACTCGATGCGATGCCCACTCTCTGCTCAGATAAGATCAAGTAGTTGAAGCACTTAGGGCTTCTCTCCTCCGTTTTTATATAATCCTGAAAGGAGATTGTTTGCAGTCGGCCCCCTTCTCAACCGACCTGTGGCGGCCCAAAACTAAACGCAGCCCGCGTCTTCTTATTTAAGCCCATCCTCAAATTTTCATTTTTTTTAATCAACTGAAAATTAAATCCTATTATTGGAGCTTAATCCTCCAGTACCTTAATTGTGCTTATTCCTAAAGTCCTAAGGGTACAAACCTCAATTCACAACTTAGTTGCTTGGCGTATGCGGTATATCTCACTCCTCATCCGGAGTGAGAGGGGAAGAGAGAAACACCGGGACAGGGAGGGTATTTCCTCAGCCTTGCCACAATCTCGGTTGAGCGCCATTTATAATAAATATTAAATTGACAACCATGTAATTTCTTCCAAGCAAAAAATATGATACCTACGGATACCGTCATTGGGATAAATCTGTGTTCGGCCTTGTATGTATTTCCTGATTAACAGCACCTACTAGCATTAACATGTACATGAACGATGGAGAGAAACGCACCGGCGTTTGAGGAAACTAAAAAGTTATTCAGTATGAAACTGACAATTTTATTGACGGCATAAATAATTATCAAACAATAGTTTGCATCACAACTTTGTATAACCAAAACTTGTGTCAGCCTCAAGCCGACAGAACCTTCATCTGGTGGGCAACTACACAGGTCAAACCTCGATGTTTCTCTCACATGTCTTTTGCGTTCGTAAAACTATACAGCATTACAGAATCGAGGAAGTTCTGGACTTGTGCATCTTCTCATCTTGACAAGTTGGAGGCAACGAGGACGGTGAGACCACTGCACGATAAGATGAAGAAGCAAGTTGGGCCAACGCTGGAACGGCACCCCCTGTAAATTTTCCAAAGGGCATCATTAGATGACAGTCAAACGGACTTGCACAACTGTAAGATAAGACCTATGTTTTACATGCACTGGATAGTTTATACCAGCCATTGCATCAGTATTATTGTTTCCTGTTAGACTAGACATTAATTCAAAGTTCAAACTAATCCAACATCTGAAAGCACCATCTCAACTTGCACCAGTGACAAGCACTAATTTCAAAACTATGCTGTGGCTCATACAGCTGCAAAACTTTTAGTCTCTTTTGTAAGTTCAGTATTTTTGTTTTGGCCTATGTCAGATGTACTACCTCGACCATTATACCACTATCAAATCACTACCTGAAGATTAAATTGCACAACTGGTTCTTCAATAATAAACATGTGATGACAAAGAGGCATGCTGTTTCAGAAACCTAGACATTTGCACATGAAAGGAGTTTTCAAAAAATATTTTCCCTAACAAAATTTAATCACTAGACATTGGTCAAAAGTGAAAACTAATCAAATAGCTCACATCTCATGAACATGGATAATATAACAAGACAATCACCGACCTGCCAAACCTGCACAAGCTGAAGAGAATACAATCACAGGCGGAGCCTACAGTTGCAAAAGGGAGATCTGTGTTATTCAATCTAGCAATTGAAAAAATTAGCAGATACAAATAGTGCAACAAAGCAACTTCAGAAACAATCCAATCCTTCCAAAGTTTTAGGAGCATAAAACCCAATCCATGTCCATCTGATAAAATATAGTCTTGGCAAAGTCTTCTTTGTTTTCCTAACCATGATAAATATTCATCACCTGATAATGTGTGCGTTTGTGCGCACGCATATAGTTCTATATATTATAATATACTAATTAGTAACTTAATACAGTGCTATCCACTCGTTTGGGTCCACTTCACAATTTGACATGAAACCCAACTAACACAATGTACTATTTTCTATGTTGGACATCAATATATAACCATAAATATTGTAACTATATAAGTTTGGACAGTTCATTTGGTCGAGTATAAAACAACAATGTGTACTGAAACTAAGACGTCAAAAATAGCCTCTGACAAAAACATTCCTTGATCTGGTCAAAGTGAAAGAAAGAAAAACCTTGAGATGTGACAAATACAATTTGGATGCATTAGTTATATTCTTGTCCACTTGAACACTCATTCCCCACCCCCACCCCCTTCCTCCTCCCTCCTCCCTCCTCCCTCTCTTCTTCTCTCATTGTTTTATTGTGTTTTTTTTTTCAATCAAATAGTATCTTTATCAAACATCACAATTTATATCCTAGCTAACTAAGTGCATACGTTTTGTGGCAAATGTACCTCTCAAGAGGGATATAAGTGCTACCAAACCTACTTCCACAAATACTTTTGTCATGAAGGTGAAGTGTAATTTTCAACAGAAGCACCAGAAACCTCTTTGTTAGGGAGATGTGCTCGATTCTATTGACTCGTGGCGGGAAGTCAATTATGTCTCGAAATTGGGACAAGATGTCCGTGAAATCTAGAAGGTAAACATGGCTTCCTACATTCTAATTACGAACAAGATGATTTTTCTCATAAGGAAATCTAATTTATGACAAAACCAATAGTAAGATCAAACAGGGACTTAAGTCAAAAAGAAAATCTCATTGTGATCCAGAAGGACGAAATACACAAGATCGAATGCTCAAGAACACAAATTAGGACTTTTCATTCCCATAAGAAAACCCTCCCAAAGGATAGCATTATATTCACCCATAGAACACCAACAAAAAAAATGTAAGGTCAGAGACTGCAACTAAGAGGCCACCTATTTCTCTTTCAAAATTAAACTTTATCCTCAACCTTTAGTTCTAATGGTTTGGCAAAAAGAAACCACAAGAAAATCATGTCAGCAAGCACACTATTTCACACTCTACATGCATATGTTGATCATGGATGTACAATTTTATGACGCCTAGCATGTTCATTTGAGGCGTCAACAATTGGTTTAGCATTTCCAAAGTTTAATTTGAAATCTATTTAACAATTAGAAACTTTTGAAGTTTAAATAATCTGAGTTACTTTTAGTTCTACTGCTGGCATTTTCATCCTTAGTTATATGCAGTGGGATAACTTGTAAAACATTAAAGAACTTACACCAAAAAAAAAATGCAACCACATAGGTCCTTTTACCCATCTTCGAACAATAGGCATCACTGCACCAAGAGACAAAATAACAAAGGTATTAGGAAACAAGCTAAGGAGGGAAACATTTAATGAGGATGATGTCCATCCTATCCTATGCCAACAGAATAAATAAAGAAAACACTATAACTACATCAAGGTAAGAAGAGAGCAAAGTTATTTTCAACACTCCACCAGGTCGATAAGAGAAGGATGTTTCACATACATTAGAATGAAAAACAGAAACAAAATTATAGACATTGAAGCCTAAGAAGAGGCCAAAAAGCAAAATTTATTGCACAATCCTTGTCAAAGCATTTAAGAAGTTTATGCAAATAATTTTTACAAAAGAAAACGAATAATGGATTACCATGGTTGAATCCATAAAAAGCACTTGCTGTGCCACCAACAGCCGACCCAATCTGTACCATAAAACCGAAATAAATTTCTCCGACAATCGATAGACCATATATTGAATTTGAGATGCAGGAGGCAGATAAAATTAGAAAAGAAGAAAAGAATACCATGGAAAAGCTATCCCTAATAAGAGGTGCAACAGTCCACTCGCTCGTTTCCATCTTCTTAGAAAGAGGACCTGCACAATGATGGCATCTCATGCCAGTACTAGTTTCAGGTTTGGAATCGGCCATCGCTCTTTTTCTCTAATAGACAGACTTCTTGAATTTAAACAGGCACCAGATCTTCCTTCACAATGAACGCCTGTAAAAAAGTTCATCATTCATTAAATTAAATATGTTATGTTTCTGCCTCCGTCCATGATGATTCCTTAGGCCTTTCAAACAAAATACAACAGCAACAAAGCCTTTTCCCACTAAGTGGGGATTTCGTTCTGGATTCCTTATCATAAGGATTCGACGTAACCTAGGAGTACCGGCTATAGACTACCTGACGCCCTCCCCCTCCTCCTTTATCCAGGCTTGGGACCGGCAATGTAAGATAAACCCTTTTCAAACAAAATAAATCTAAGATTTGAACCTCAATCCAGCTATTGCTAATTTTCTGTACAAGAATCAAACTATCAGATACAACCAGAAAGGTGACGACATTTGAGATTTCTACCTGCCACTCTGAATGAGGAGCGGGGTCGCCGCTGACTCAATCAGATATTCAGATGGCTCTGCTCACGGGGTTGGGTCATGCTGTGCTGCCACGTTTGTTTTACTTTGTGTTTTTTTTGTTGTTGCCTTTGCCAAATCGATAATCACAAGGAAGATCACAAGCTCTGTGTTTGGGGTTTCTCCACCTCCAGAGAAGAAGCAACTCTGGAATCGGAATTGTTCGGGTTCACAAGCTCTGCGCACTTCTTTTCATGTATAATCTCTGTAAAATTAAATTTGAAAGGTAATAACCATGTATTCGTTAGTATGAGTCGGATTAAGGACGTTTAATCCCCATAATTATATTCAGAAACAACGCTCCATGGAAAAGGTCGATAGAGATTTATTACCACAAGATTTGTATCATGAATTTCCAAATATGCAAAGAAGCACACAAATGCCCAGGGTGTCACAATTAACATGGAATATGGATACGAAAATGTCAAGAAATCATACTAAAATACAATTCTGCAAAATCTTTCAAAAATACAGAACCTAGAATTAACATACTAAAAGAAGTTCCCGAAGCCGAAGGTCCTTGCACTCTACACCCAATCCAGCAATGCTGAGAATTAGTTACTATATAACCATCCAGCTGACACTCAACTCAACTAACCACTTATCCAAAATGATGGGATCGGTCCTAAACCATTTTTATGCCAATGATTTTTATCCAGAGGAAATGAACAACCCCATAACATATATGAAAATCATTTGCTTCCTCGCCAATTGGATCCTTAAGAAACTCAAATCAAACAAACTAGACCTAGGACACAATACCATCACTTCTTCCTATAACCATTACTATATGGTCTCTAATGCTGCTCATTTAGTCTACTGAATACGATTGATCAAACCCTAAATTGGAAAGCAAACCTGAGCCGGATAACTGATATAATTCAACGCTTCGATCCCCATAGCGGGTCCAATCGTATTAGTAATCCCGGCATAGGTGCTCCTCCAGCATTACTGCTAGACCAAAGCTTTAACACTACTCAAAGAAAACCACATGACAATATTATCGTCCAATTCATTTTTTCAGCTCAAATCAATCCACATTACAAGAAATTCAAGATTTTTCAGAAAGATTAGAACTTATATATGACCAGATTAGACAAACCACATTTTGAGCCAGGTTCAGGAACGCAAACCACAAACAGACCACTTATCAAATACAATTCCCAAGCACAAGTTAAACTAGTGAAACCAACAAAACTAACTTATTTTCTCATAATCATCCTATTTTCCCAGAAAATTGAAATTTTCCATGGAAAAATCAAGAAAAAGAAAAAGTAAAACCCAAAAAAAAAAAAAATCAAAGATCTACAGAAAGCAAGATCGAACCTGGAACCTGGAACCTGGAACCTGGAACCTGGAGATGCAGAGCTTTGAGTTCCACTCCGTGGAGAAGAGAAAACAGAGGCTAAGGGAGAGGATGAGGAGGAAGGTTGCGAGAGAACTGGGAGAAAGAAGGCAGCGGCAGAGAAGATGGAAAGAAGATTAGATGGAATTTTAGGGTCTGTTTATAATTTAGATGGTGTAAATATTAAAAAAGATGAGGGGTATTTTTGTCTTAAAATTTTATAATTGTGTGCTCCACGGGTGGAACGAGTCGTTCCCAAGGTAGGGGTGGAACGGAAAACCCCCAAATTTCGTTTCGTGGGACAGCGTGTCCCATTGTGGCATTGTCTTTGGCGCGCTAAATGTGGGACGAGCGTGTTCCGTCCCAGTGTGTAAAGTCTCATCTCACGTACTAAACGGTACCTTAGGTACCGTTTGGTATGCAGACGGGACGGAACGGGATGGGACGGGACGGGACGGAACAGGATGGAACAGATGATGTAAATATTGAAAAAGATAAGGAGAAATTTTGTCATAAAATGTTATAAATTTGTGTTCCACGAATGTGAAACGGGTCGTTCCAGGGGGAAGAGGCGGAACGAAAAATCAGCCAAATTTCGTCCCATGGGACAACCCGTTCCACAGTTTTTAGGCGCACCAAACGTGGAACGGAATGGCTAGTCTCGTTCCGTCCCGTCCCGTCCCGTCCCACGTACCAAACGGTACCTTAGGTATCGTTTGGTAAGCAGACGGGACGGAACAGAACAGAACGGGACGGGATAGGACGGGACGGAACGGAAAGGGAGCAAAGATGTCATTGGATGGAAACAATGAGGAAGAAGAATGAGACATAGATGTTATAATTTTATGTTCCACATATATGGAACGAGTCGTTTCAGAGGGTGAGGCGAAACGAAAATTCACCCAAAATTCGTCCCGTGGAACAGCGCGTTCCATCCGTTTTAGGCGCACCAAACATGGGACGAAACGTCTCGTCTCATTCCGTTCCATCCTACGTACCAAACGGTACCTTAGGGAGATGTCAACCAATTAGGCTTGTGAAATTGGCCGCAGCAGAATTGAGCTCGACTGGGACGGGGCCGGGCCTTGAGTATTTCAGTGGGCTGGCTGGGACTAGGCTTTGAGTTCTTGTATGGTGGGTACAACACTTTGGGGCAAAACTTTACAGTGAAAATTTTCCAATAACCAGTATTCAAGCGAGTACTTTACTTGTCATAAAATAAGTGAAGCGACATAGAAAAATATACCTCTTTTTGTATTATGACATGTAAAATACCGCTTGAATACCTAGTAATTGAAAAATCCTTCTTTTTTCTGACCCTTTGATGATTTTTAGCTCCTTTTTTTGGGATCGTGAAAGCATTGCATTGAAATATCATCTATTTTTTTAGGGATCATGAAAACGTTAGTTGAGTTCAAGTATTGTTTGGGGACTGAAGTTGTTAGATCATATAATATGACAACGTTTTATCTCAAGAGAAGAAGTAGGCCCTCGATTTGTCAACAAAAATTGCTTGTTGGACTACAGGTACTCCAGTTGATCCTAAACACAAATTGGCATGTGGGGAGATTCATCTATTTGTGTCATACCTAGTCTGATAATGGCTTATGCAGCTAGTGTGATGACTAAACGACCGTCGTTCCAAATGAATTTTTTCATGATGATAAGAAAATAAACGTCTGCAATTATGTAATTTTGTAGAATGAAAATACAATAATCGCCAAAGATGAATAAGTGGCATGCCAATGGGTTGAATGTAAGTATCATCCTTAATTAGTTATTTCTTTTTAACTGAAGTGGACATAATACCTTTAATTTGTACTTACCATATATACACATCATCTCTTTTGCTAAAGATGAAAGAACAGAAAAAAGAAAAAAGAAAAGAAAAGAAAAAGGTCAAAGAAAGATAGATGCGGTTGGACCAAAAGCCAAAATCAACAACTTGGTTTGCCCCAACAGGTGAAAATACTGTAGAGAATATATGCAAGAAATGGACATCTTGACTCAATTGATCAATAAAAGAGAAAGTGTCAATTAAACTTTATACTATGATTCTGCACTATATTCCGATATATAGAACCATTTTTAATTAGGAATGGAAGAAGAGTACCAACCATTTATCCAACCATTTGTATGTATATGGTTTTGGAGTTAACTTTTGGCTGAAGTAGCAAAAACTGAATAACTAATTAGCGTGCTGCTCTATGCATACATGAATATCATCATGACGAACACATGCAGTGTGTGTGTGTGTGTGGCATGGTGCGCTCGTATTCTAGCTAGATAGATAAAATGTAAAAGTGTTTTAGTGTTACAAAGAAGTCCCAGCTAACAATAACGAAATCCCTACTTATACCCGAATTACAATAATACATTAAATATAAAGTTGGTGACTCACATCAACATTCTCTCTCAAGTTGGTGCGAAGCTATCTCATAAGCCCAACTTGTCAAATGAATCATGAAAAGCTTTCACAAACACCACATGTCAAAACATATGCGAATTACTATTCCGACTTCACATGAGGTATGTGACTCAAATTCATGTTCAACTTTATTGGATGAAGTGTCGATCAACCTCAACATGCTTAGTACAATCATATTGAATTGGATTGTTCATAATTTCTCGAGCCGCCTAGTTATCACAATAAAGCTGCTCGAAAGCTAAGTATTCTCGAAGTCTCTTAATTTCCTATGTATGATCACATGTAACAACCATATCATCCACATATATAATTAGCAAGGTTGCCTTACCATCCTTGCGTTTGATAAACAGGGTATGATCAAAGTTTGCTCATCAATAACCATACTTCCTCGTGGGTTGTGTAAACCTCCCAAATCAAGCTCTCAAATATGAGTGATTCAGGCCATAAAGCACTTTAGGAAGTCAACACGTCTTCCCAAAGGTATCCTACACTCCATATTCAGGCGAAATATTCATGTACACATCTTCCTCTAAATCTCCAAACAAAAAAAAAAAAAAAAAAAAATTAACATCAAACTATCTCAATGGCCAATTGAAATTAGCTGACAAAGATAACAAAACTCGGATGTTATTCAATTTTGCAACTGGTAAAAACGTTTCTTGATATATGTCATAGGTCTGTGTATACCCCTTGACAACCAATCTCATTTTATATCGATCAATGGTCTCATCTGCTTTGTGTTTGACAGTAAACACCCACTTGCATCTCACTGTTTTCTTCTCCTTTGTCAGTGATGCAATATTCCAAGTCTCATTTGCTGCAGTGCTTCCATCTCTACTTGCATAACTTATTTCCACTTCTAATCCTTCAAAGCATCTTCAACTTTTGTCGGGATTTTTATTTCTTTCATTTGATTCACCGTGGATTGGTAATGTGGCAAAAGTCCCTAGGTGATACATAGTTTGCAATATCATACTTATAACCTAGTTTGCAATATCATACTTATAACTTTCCCTTTATGGAGAAAATCTTACTGGTGATTTCCCTTGATTCTAGGCAACTGATAAGCACGCTCAACAACATCAAAATTAGATAATGTTCTAGTTCCGAAATACTTACATCGGGGATATCCATGGAATCACGAGCCGGTACAAGCTGGTCATAATGGGAAGTTAACGCAAGAGCTGATTGTTCGGCAGATATAAGGAATTGATCAAGTTGTTGTTCGACAGCGTGCTGCTATTCTGTCGACTGTTGTTTGGCCGGCTGTTGTTCGGCAGCCGATTGTTGTTCGGTAGTTGTTTCTTCTAACCCCGATGATGCATACCAAATCGTTCATTCATAAGTTGTCTTCTCTTGAAGGACATGATTTGGTTCATCAAAAGATAAAAAAAATCTCTGATTGAGAGAATGTAGCATCTATTGTTACAAAGAGTCTACTAAATGAATGATAGTAGCACCGACATGCTTCTGTTGTGGAGCAAAGCCTTGAAACGCGCATTTCACTGCACAAGGATTTGGAGCGTTGATTCTTGTGTAGCGCACATACGCCACACACCTAAAAATGTGTAGGGTGAAACTGAGAGAACATATAAATGAAACATGATCTGCTAACACCGTTAGAGGAGTGCGAAAATCAAGCACTTTGTAAGGCATTTGGTTGATCAAGTAAACGACATATGTAACTGCATCGGCCTAGTAAGATTGTGGAGCAGTCGCTTCAATGGGAAGTGTCATTTCCGTATCAAGAATATGTCAATTTTTCCGTTCAGCCATCCTATTTTGTTGGGAAGTTTAAGGACAAGTAGTTTCATGTAGGATATCTTGCTCTTCAAAAAGGTGAGACAATTCGGTATTATCATATCATCCCCATTATCGGAGTGAATCACCTTAATAGTAAGCGAAAACTAAATTTGAATCATCTAGTGAAAATTCTTGACAATAGTAGTAACATCGCTCTTGTGTTTCATTGTATAAAACCAAGTCATCCACAATAATACAAACCATCAAATTCCTTGCCGAGTTGAAACAAGAGGAAGACCTCACGCATCAGGATGTATGTACTAATTCAAAATGAACAGTTCTTTTAGTGTAACTCAAAGGATAAATAGTTCTGTGACTCTTTGCTAAAGTACTGAGTACATACATGACACTATAAATCAGAGCCATAACAAAATCTTCTTAACTTTGTAACCATTTCCACTACTCACTTGATTGACCCTGCACGACCCTCTTCTCTTAGTACCCCAATTATCTTTTAGCCCAAATATCCTGAAGTAAGCAAAAAAAAATGTTAACATTAGTACAATACAAATTCGGTAACTTGATTGACTGATAAATCCCAAGAGCCATGTCTATATACCTTGAAGAAAGTTGGGGTTCCACAATAAAATCAATTTGTGATAGAGGGCGTAGCCTAATTACTTATAAGCATATGCAAGGTCTCTTGTTTATTCGACATGGGATTCATACTCTCAACGCGTCTACGTGTGACGAATTTTCAAGTCTAACATGTGATAACACAAATCGGATGACATAGAGCACGCGTGGTTTGGCTTCACACGCAGGGCAACCGAGTATGATACCAAAATAAAATGTAAAAGTGTTTAAGGAGTTTGAATAATTGTATTGTATTCTTCTCTCAGGGAGAGAATATATATACAAGTTACATAGTTGATTAGGGTTACAAAGAAATTCCTAACAATAAGGAAGTTTCTACTA